AACCCTAACCCTAACCCTAACCCTAACCCTAACCCTAACCCTAACCCTAACCCTAACCCTAACCCTAACCCTAACCCTAACCCTAACCCTAACCCTAACCCTAACCCTAACCCTAACCCTAACCCTAACCCTAACCCTAACCCTAAGTACGCAACGCCTTACGACACTATATGGTCCCAGAGTCACAACCTAAACTTCTGTTAATAGCAACCCTAACCCTCTGACAGTGTTCCTCCTTCGGAAGCTGCCAGGTCATAACACTTCCAAGGCGATCTGCGAGTCTTTACGTGACTAACCTCCTTTACACTTTTCTTACTACCAATCTAAGCCAATGATCGCGAAAGCCTGAATGATAGAATTTACCACTTTGGGACTAGTAACCCAGTGATCGGTGGAATTCATGGCTTCCTTGAAGCAATGAAAGCGAGGGCAAATTCCCCTTTTCATCTGCCTACATTCTCGTAATGCTTGCTTACTGAGCTTGGAATATCGTGCTGTAACAGGGTTAAGACGGCGATGGATGTTCAAGGAGGCTCAGTCGATGATCGAAAGGAGCGGAGGAAGGAGAATAACCGGTGAAACCAGAGAGCACGGAGTAAGTCCCCAGTTCGCCGCGCTCATTGATGGTATTACACGGAATTTACCCCAGCCGCAGGAGAGCGTCTGAGAAGCCAGGAGAATGCCAATACTTTGACCTCGAAACGTCCGTTCCACGTCCATCGATGGCGAGCCCTCGAGAACGTAGCCTCGGTGCAAGGGACTTCTGTTAACCGACGAGCACAGCCGAGCCAAGAACCGGAGCCCGTCTCCCACAGCAGCGAGATCCCTCTGCCCGCAGATCATAAACTAATCAGTCTCATCGCTTATAATGTTTGTCGAGCTATCGTCTCGAACAAACAAGCATTGCGCCGCCTTTCTGTCTTTATTGATACAAGTGGAATTCCGATCTTGCCACGGCCCACCAAGAGCGCTGCCGAATGTGCTATCGCGGTGGTACGACCAACAGTATCAAATATGCCACCTGGTCTCTTTCCTACGCAACTCCAAATGAACTCTCCGCACCCCACATGGATGGAGGTTTTCCCATTCCCTAAGATGCGAGACAATCTTATCCGGCGTCAATCTTCGTTCGATCATCAGAGCTTCTTTGTGGACATTGTCGGTACATCATCTAATGTAGAACCCGCACGCGTGGATTCTAGCCTCGAGATCATAATGCCCATATCGAGCCTGTGGAGGGAGCACAACAGCGCAACCATCTTCTTCGACAACGGTCTCATTCTCTGGGGTGAGCCTCATTTGATGGAGAGCTGGGAGGTGACACCGCAGCTTTACGCCAAGTGGAGATGGGTATTTCAGGACTGCAGTGAGATCGTTGAAGCGTCAAACATGTGGCGACTCGTAAGGGGCGAGAATCTATTAGTAGATGCGGTTCAGTAGCCCTCGCTGCTTCCAAGGTTCCGTTGACAAAAGCTGAGGTCTAGCCTAGCCGAAGCACAATGCTTTGCAATACTCGTGATTATGCTGTTATTTAAGCAGAAGAACTTCTCGTAATTATACTCGCGCAGAGCCTACCGTTTACTG